TTTATGAAAGATGTTCTCAATGTGAAGCCAGTTCTTTTAAAGCAAAATGCCCCCGAAATGGATGCCTTTCAGCAAAGACTTTTTAATTCTCCGCGTGAAACCTATTTTTTGTTGAAACCTGATGCCCCCAAAACCAATGCCTTTCATGTCAAAGATGTTGTCGACATTGAACTTTTTTGTTTGACACAATGCCCCCAAAATGGATGCCTTTATGAAAGATGTTCTCAATGTGAAGCCAGTTCTTTGAAAGCAAAATGCCCTCGAAATGGATGCCTTTCAGCAAAGACTTTTTAATTCTCCGCGTGAAACCTATTTTGTGTTGAAACCTGATGCCCCCAAAACCAATGCCTTTCATGTCAAAGATGTTGTCGACATTGAACTGTTTTTGTTTGACACAATGCCCCCACATGGATGCCTTTTGTGACAACTGTTCTTAATGCGAAACCTTTTCTTGTTTCACATGATGCTCCCCACATGGACCCTTTTCTGTCAAAGATTTTTTCAACATTGAATCCTTTTTGTTTGACATATATATTGCCCCTGAAATAGATGATGGCAGATGTTCTCAATGTCAACCCCTTGTTTTGTTCGTCCAAGTTTTGGAAAAGACGCTCTGAACTTTGAAAACCCTTTTGACAGAGACATTCTGCATGCAAAATGCTCGTCTGCCTTGTGAAACAAAGGCCCCCCCGAATGAGCTCGTGCCTTGATTTCTGGGATGAAGAATAAACTGTCCGACACATATTCAAAAAAAAATCAGGCCTTCTGACTTTTTCACTTGGCTCTTGCTGTATATCCCGAACCTGCAAAATCATTTCAAAATGCAGCCTCAGCCTGGAGATATGGAACCTATTTAGGACCACCTTTTAAGACCCAATAATCGATAGGCTCCCAAAGCTATTATTTTGGGCAATTTATCAGGGCCAGTGACTAGAACAAATTAAACATATTTTGCTTAGGGCAGTTTGTACATGTTACGAGCGTACCCGATAAGACACACAACTACTTTAGTTTTGATATTTTCACGGCAAGAAACGATCGCCTCCCACCGAACCAAGCGACCAAGTCTCTGCAGTTTCACGCCACCAGGAGGAAACTCAGATGCGGTCATGGAGGCGCCTGTGTAGAGGCCACAAAGATCGACTTGTTCGGCTGTTCGATCCAGTGCCAAATGTATGGGAACAGATCACTCGAGTCTTACAGTCTTATCTCGTTTTTTGAGGTGGCTAACCACCCTTTAAATTGCAGGGGTATTTTTCTTCCTGTCTATTCGAGGGCGAAAAAACGCTGCAATTGTTAACTGGTTAGTGGTTTGACTCATATTTTCCATCTTCCATCCATACTTGGGATGGTTGGCTCCATCGTTTAACATGCTTTGGGCTGTAGCTGTCCATGTTGGCCAAAGCCTGGGTGGTGCTGTGGGCGACGTCGACGACATGAGTTGCTGACAACAAATTGGAGAACATGGGAGTTTCCGACCAGTGAAATGGTGGATCCATTGGGATGGTATTTCAGCTTCATCCAAGCGCACTGTATAGTGCGGCATAGCGTGGCATGCGTAGCAAAGGTTAGCAAAGGGTAATGGGTTGCTGACTAGCAAAGGGAAGAAGTTTTGGGTCACACCCAACTGTGCCAAATTCGGTCCATGACAATGACGGCGCCAGGCCCATGGGGAACTCGACGCGTTGATCTCCTCACCTTGAGTGCCCGAAAGCGGCGCAGCATCTGAGGTCGTGAGCCCCGAGTCATCAAAAAGAGATGCCGTCGGAATACTTTGGAAAAACCCAGAGAGCCAAGGAAGAGCATCACTTCAGGAGGAAGTTCCCAACATTGCAATGGTCAGAAAAAAAATTCCCTTTACCGATGATGCGCCGCAGCATTTTAAGCAGCCTGACAGAAGCTTGCACCCTACAGTCGCATTGCAAATGTCCGATTGACAATGACGATCTACGCAATCTACTGACAAATGCTAGTTGGAATCCCATTGATAGACATTGACAGACGCATGCACTGAGGGAACCCAGTGGCGACCAAGCAGAAGTCAGAAGTCCAAATCACATGAATCTCTACAAGTTGTGTGCTGGGTGCAAGTTAGGTGTCACATGGGTTGCACACACTCCACCACACGCGCTCTTGCATCAACTTTAACAAGCCGTGTGAATGGAACAGACTATACATAGCGGTCCTTGTTTTTCCGTTCGATTGAATGCTGCATCGCCGGTTAGCCAGCAGTTTTAAAGAAGTCAGACACTTGCGTTGGTGGGGATTTCCCCCTTCCAAAGCCTCAACATTTTTTGGATCCAGAAGTCAATCAACTTGCACTGCCAAGCGCGCCTTTTGCCATTGCACGGGCCTTCCGGTCCCTGCGTCAGCCAGGGGTGCCCAGTCAAAGTGCACCAGAACGGATTCTGCAGAATAGGTGGTTATGCACAGGGCCCTGTTGGAAAGATCGACTGAACCATTCAGTGTGAGAATCACAGCCCTGTTGTTGACAACGAGTGTGGAAGATGCACAGATTTCATGCGCAGGGTGACGTTATCTTTTAAGCACTTTTAAGCTTTGAGCATTGCTTGGGGCATGTCTTGGGTGTGCTTCCTGCACAATGTGAAGCCTGACTCGGCAGCCCGACCAATTCTTGAGAAAAATCAGCATTTGATGAGAAACCCGGTGCTGGTCCGTGATTTTGGCAAAGCATTGAGGTCTTCACGATGGGCTGCTGTATTGGTGCTAGAACTTCCCAGGCGGAGGCAGGAGACAAGGAATTCCAGTCAGGTTCGAGATATCACAGCCTGACAGTGATGGGTTTGGCTTTACTTACGACATGGACGGACAACATGTTTCTGTTTTGATCCCGAAGCCTTTTAATCATACAAACCATGGCCGCCTCAGAAATAACACCCCAAAAAGTGTCAAGATTTCATGAGATATTACACAGGTACAAATTGATTCATCATTGCATATATTCAAATCAGGTCAAATCTACTTGTTTCCAACCAGTTCACTGGCTGTCCGTTGTTTGGAGGACATGTCGCCATTCGCGGCAAATAACTTCGATAGCCCTCTGGCAGCCCAGACAGAGGAGGCACGAAACGGCAGTGAATGACATATGAATGACATTTTTTGCACGAATTCCTGCAGCGTTCAGTTGCAACTTGGAAACATGTCAACGATTGATGCAGCTTGCCCATCTTTTTGCAAGTCAAATTAGTTTGTCTCAGTTTCGCAGATGCCTTTTCTGCAAGGCGCAGATGGACCAGCCCTCCGCATCCAGGGAAGGGCCGGCAACCAAAGTGGAGATCGAGGCTCATCTGGGCACAGTTGCTTTGTTTGACAATCATTCTTGTGCTATCTGAATATGGTCTCTAGATTGTGGAGGCGCATTCTGTCCCTTCACTTTTGCCAAGAGTTTGTATACCTCCGTGCAAAAACATCAAAGAAACCAAATCAGATCCTGCGATCCACAAGGGCTGCTTTCAGGGCCGCTTCAGCGGCGAAGTTGGACACTGCTAGATTTGGGTTCAATGTATTCTGAACAAGACCCGTGTGGATGCTGTGTTGAGCAGGCGAATATCGATCCGGGAGAGATTCAAGTGGTGGAGGCTGCATCCATTAACTGGCTGCAACTCAACCTTTCAACTTTGAAGGTTTATCACATGACAAGACGCACCAAGCAGGTACCACAAGGTTTCTTGTTGGAGTTCCATCGCAGCAACGGCAACGGAACATTCTTGAGATGTCTTGAGAGTCCTGATGTTTTGCAAGATTTTTGCAAGCGTGCGATGTACGACGTTTGAAGCATGTGAGAGGCACAGCGGGATGGCGCCAGAGCTGGGGCTGTGAGTGAGTTTTCTGATGTGCCCGAGGCGCATGCTGAACGAAATTTACACTTTAGAACGACGCTTTGCGGAATGCATTTTTGCTGCAGCTGAAACCCCAAGTGGATTTCCATTTGGTGCTGAACATCTGCCCTCGTTTCAAGCAGGGTATCCAGAAACGGCCCATTCTTTGTGTTGAGCGAGTTTTCACCGGTTGACAGCTGGTGCTGTTCGAATCAAAGCTAACATTGATGCGCATCTTCCAGTGTTATTGTCGGAAGCCCTTGTACTGGTTCAAAGGAGGGCCTACAATACCGTATTACCATGACCAGTAAGATAAAGTAAAAATATAGTAAGAATATAGTAATGTGCATGATGCATGGAACACGTTTCTAGAAGCGTGCTCGATGCCTCAGGCCCGCCTCAGGGACTACTTCCTCAAGGACTACAAGGGCGGTGGTGTCTTTGAGCACGAGGCCTACGAGCCCGATGCCGACGAATGGTGCTGGATCCACAAGAGCTCCGGCATCAAGGCGTGACGCGTTTCGTCACGCCACGAAAGTGACGCAGCAGACTCGGTGCAACCCCAGCAGCAGCTCCTGGCAGGTGTGGCAGGATGCCCTGGACCTGACTCAGTCCGGTGGAAGTGGCGAAGTCAAGTGCCTCTTCCACTACACGACTCAGTTGGGGTTCCGAAACATCACGGCTCCACAGAAGAAAGCCGTTGAAGTCTTCGTGCTGCACTCAGTTGCCAATCAGCATGTCATGTGATGTCATGTGTCTTTTTGCCCGCTCACCTTGCCGATGGCCATAGCCTTGAGCATCCAAAGGCCTCGTTGGTCACCAGTGGTCCGAAGGCCAATGCGTGGTGGGGACAAGGCAAGGTCACATTCATCAAAGCTGACAAAACGTGAGCATTTGCAGACCCTTGTGTCCACTGCAAACAACTCTGGCGAGGCGTTTACAGTGTCAGAAGGGCACCGGATGAATGGCCAGACGTGGCCACGCTGATTGACAATAACTATCGGAATATGCATAAGAGGGATGTTGAATCGAAAGGCCGTGAGGCAGCGGACGAGGAGAGTGTGCCTTTCTTAGGTGCCGCATTTCTTGTCCACATTTTTGGTGCAATTTTTGGATGCGCACATCGTCATTGTTTGGGGGTTAACAAACCTAGATCCAATCATGCAGGAGTACGCCTCCCGTGTGGCTTACTGTATTCCACTCTTAGCCAACTCTGCCATATGCTACGACGTTTCGATTCAACAGACGCCGGAGATGCAGAAGGAGGCTGGTAGCATGCTTTGCCTGGAGCTACACTGATTTCGCGTGGACATTTTCTGCAGCACTTGGCTTGTGACTCATCTTTGCTCTGCGGGGCCAGGGCAAGCCTCCCGGCGTGCCAGGGGCCCAGTCCTTGAGTGCTTCATGTGAAATCTGATGAGCACGCCATTTAAACGTTGCTTTCAAGCCTGTGGCGCAGGAACCTGGCAGGAAAGCTGCTGAATGAACGTGGGCAGCCAGAGAGGCAGTGCGTCGTGATCCGGGCGCAAAGGGAGGAGGAAGTGGGCCACGCCAGCGCAGTGCTGCTGGACACGAAGCCTGGCTGCTTTCAGGGGCTTGGAGCTTGGGTCTTGAGTCAGCTTGCCATCCAGGGTTATGGCTGTTCAATCCAGGGGTTTGGTCCTTTGAGCTTGCCATATCCAGGAGTTAGGATTCGTCCAGTAGGATTAAATCAGGTGGGCCGAGTTCAAGACTTCTATTAGAAAAATGATCCAGAGGGCTGACAAGTTTTTGTTTTTTCATGAATTCTCAAGTTCGAGATGCACACTGGTCCCTTCGATAGATTTGGACCAGAGCCAACGTGATTTCAAAAGTTTCAAGTGTTTTTGATGCAGCCCTGCGGGCTGTTTTAGCTGCTCTCTTGCTCTGGTTTTGCCTTTCCTTCTTCCGGGATCTCTGGTCACGTCGCTCCCTGGCAAGTTTATGGAACCTCTCCTGTGGGTCAAAGTATAATGGTCGTGGCAGGATGGATACCAAACAGAAAGCACGAAGCTCAAGCTCTGTTTCGAGAGCGGGGGCGCTTGTCAATCCAGTATTTTGCACTCCAGATCTAGAAAGGTACACCGCAAGATAAAAAGACCGTTTTGTCCTGGCTCGGGCTCTTTGTCCTGCAATTGAAAGCATCAGGGAGTAAAGGCATGGAGCAGAATCGCTTGATGTTTGATCTTGCCACCTGACCATTCACTTTAAGATGTGGAGAAGGCGTGACTCAGGTTCTGGAACTTTGAAACTCTTTCAGGAGTGCCCGCGCGACATTGCCTTCTGAGATTTCTTGAGTACGGCCCACTTCGAGTTTTATAGTATCTATCGGCTATATTCGTCTATGCCATGTCTATTGACTATGCTATGAGTTGACTTGAATTACCCGCTCCATTTAGGACAAACGTAAAAACATATGGTTGAAGATCCCGCAAAGCAGGGACCATGGATTGCAGCCCAGTAGCCAGCTTCTGACTGAAGCCGGGAGCCATCCCACACCTTGACGATTTTGCGCACCGTTGGCCATTCTCTTGAACTTGATTTGTCTTCCATGTTGGTGACATGGTCGACCACCGCATTGCCATGTGATAGGCACAGCCATGTGATAGGCATCATCATGGACCAAGGCTGCGGTGCCGTGCAGATGCCACAGCCGAAAGATTGGGCCCTGAGGACGGGTTTGCGCTTTTGGCACTGAGCCGGTGCGGACCTCAGTCCCTCCAAAGAGACCAACACATTAGCAAACATGTATTGTTGAGTCAAGAACTCTATTGTCTTGTCACCAGAGATGTGCATCCAGAGATGCGACAAAGCCGCAAAGTGAAAGCCGTAGATTGCAGTAGGCAACAGTATTTATATAACAAGCATCAAATAGCATCAATCAGTATAGCCTACAGCAACTGCTCAAGTGAAATCAAAACAATTCGAATCCCAGAATCTCGTTTTTCCACCAGGGACTTGGATCCAAACATATGCCACGACACCAGAAATAGTTTAAAAAAGTGCCCTCTCTCCACGGAGCCGTGGAAACTTTTCGGCTCCCGTGGCGATCCACGGCCGAGGCTCGCCCGGGTGTTGGAGGCCCGCGGCGCCTTCGCCGAGGCCGTGCCGCTGCGGCGCCGAGTCTTGGAGGCCGAGGAGCGGCTCCGGGGCCCCGAGCACCGCGTGACGCTCACCGCGGTGCACAACTTGGCGTTCGTTCTGAAGCGGCTGGGGAAGTTCAGGGAGGCGCCGCTGATGTGCTGTGCTGCAGTCCACCGTGGCGGGTGGATGGTGCTGCATTTTGTGTTGGGAAAAGCGTGGAAACAATTGCAGGGAAACAATCAACGCATTTTCAGATCATCTCAAAATTTTGTCATCTATGTAGAAGTGCGATAATGCATGAACATGTCAATTTTACGCAAATCATCTCAAATCATCTCAAATCACGTCATGTATGGACGTGCCAAAACATGGACATGTCAAAGTTTAGCAAAAGATGTTTGCAAAGAACAGATGCCGCGTTGCAAGTTTCAGTCTGAGATGTCTGAGGCTGTCAAAGCGTTTTTGCAAAAAATCACAGAACAGATGCACCCTGAGGTTGGAATTTATTTGCAAATGGAAGATTGGAACGACGATGACACACATCCAAATTATGTTGCAATGTCAACTCGTCGAACTTTGCGCTTGACTCTTCAAGTTTTGAATTATGTGTGCATTTACATGGTACAATTGTACTTGACATTTTTTCATCAATCCAAACTCAAGGCCGTTACCCACCTTTCTTCCCTTTCCACATGGTACTCGCAGGCGGATCCTGGCCTGGGGCCCCACACCACCGGTGCCATCCCGAGACGCCAGGCGGAGGCCCTGCACCGCCGAGCTCTTGCAGGGCGCGAAGCGCACCTCGGTGCGAATCATCCGCACACGCTTCAGTCCATGAACAACCTTGCCGCGCTCCTGGAGCAGCAGGGGAAGCTGGCTGAGGCTGGGCTGAGGTCTTTGGATGGACAGAGGTGACCTTCCTGGAGGACGCTTCACATTTTTGGTTTGACCAAGGCCTGAGGCCTGCATTTTCTTCTTGTTTCCCGGTATTGGTGAAACGATGTGACAAGTGATTCATTTATGCAATTATTTATCATCGTTGCAGGGTTTTTTGTCTGTATATGTACTTGCTTTTGTTTCCCACACCTCCTGACCATGTGCCCACCCTCGGCAAAATCTCCTGAACGTATAGTCACCCTTTATCACACTGTCAAAAGAGTTCATCAAACCTGAAGAATTTCAAGATTCACTATACCAGCAGGGAAATGCGTGGCTTCTGAAGTCACCAACAGGATAGTGTTGCCAGCCGAATTCAATGAAGACCAACGAAGTAATTTTGCAGATGCACCCTCTTTCTTGCCATTTGGCATTGCTTCTCAGACGCGCTCCCCCTGGTTCCCTGGGGTCGGTTGCAGGTTGAGGTCTTTGGGGTGAGAGGTGACTTTCCTGGACGTTTCACCAAGGGCATTTTTTGGTTTGACCAAGGCTTGAAGCCTGGAGATTCGTTTTGTTTCCCGGTATTGTTGGATGATTCTTTTTGTTTTCTGAGTTTGGATTTTTTCACAACGGGAAGATTGGAACGAAGATGACTCACATCCAAATTTTGTTGAACATGTCAACTCATCGACCTTTGCGTTTTATTCTTCAAGCTTTGAATCAGCTTTGAATTATGTGTGCATCTTACATGGCACAATTGTATTTGACATCTTTTTCATCAATCACAAAGCCCATTTTCATTTTTCTTCCTTTCCCACATGGTCACATAGTACTCACAGGCGGATCCAGGCCTGGGGCCCCACACCACCGACGCCATCATCCCAAGACGCCAGGCGGAGGCCCTGCACCGCCGAGCTCTTGCAGGGCGCGAAGCGCACCTCGGCGCGCTGCACACGCACACGCTCAACTCCATGTCCAACCTGGCTGCCATCCTGTGGAAGCAGGGGAAGCTGGATGAGGCGGGGCTGAGGGTCTTTGGGGTGAGAGGTGACCTTACCGGACGTTTCACCAAGGGCATATTTTTGTTTGGCCAAGGCCTGAGGCCTGGATTTTCTCTTGTCAATTTCCCAATATTGCTGGATTACCTTTTTTGGGCGTAATACATCGTTGGGACCTCCATCCACATTTCATAGTTGTAATCGGCAAAATGAACACATGGCAAAACTGTCAAATCTTTCCGGTGAATTCTTGCAAATGAGGCCTATAGATGGCTATAGTATAAATATATCTATATAGGCGCATGCTAAACGAAAGTATGACATCTGCAGGACCCCCATACTGTTCCCACTCGTTTCCTGGTTGCAGCCGGCAGCCCACGAAAGCTGTGCGATTGATATATAATCACACACACAATCACACACATATAGGACAGAGTTGAACCGAAGCTGTAAGCTGAGATGTACGATTCTATAGCACGGCCTTCAAGCTCCAATGCCGCAAGTTCTGGCTTAAGCAGCCTTGCCGGGGATTTCCCGTGGTGCCACCTCCCTGGGGGATGCCAGGGAGGTGGGTTGGAGGACGTGGAAGTGTAGCCTCCCCTGTGAAGGACTCTTTTCTGGAGGGGAAGGTCTACACAGACACCGGGGATCCTCAGGGCACCGTGCTCCTGAGGGTCAAGAGGATCTACAGCCCCGGTGCTCTTGGGCGCTTCTTTCTGGGAGACTATATAAGTGCATCGGAGAAGGAATACCGAAGCTGGGCTGAGTCGAAACGGGGCCGTGTGACCACTGTCGACGGGTCGTATCACTTGTGCAAGACCGGGCCCGGAGACTGCACGGCAGCTGGGCAACATGACATCACGGTGCACATTGGTCAGTGGCGCACCTGGAAAGAAGCCGAGTTGCTTGCAGGTGAGGCCCCAGAGGGCTACAACAGAGAAGCAAAGGGATTGATCACCCGTTTCTTCAAGCAGAAGGAAGGGGAACCTGCCAAACCTGCTGCTAGTGGCCTCCCCTGGTCAAGGCAGGGAGTGTTGGACCTGAAAAAGAAAGTGGACCGACCCAAGGAAAAAGATGAGAAGGAGGCCAAAGAGAAGGCAGACCATGACCGCGGCCGACCGGCTAAGGTCGCAAAGATCTCTGAGTTGGAAAAACGCCTGAAGGATCTCAAGAAAAGCCTTCAGGAGGAGGATGACGCCGCAGAAGGAAAGAAACGCAAGTCGCCGACCTCTGAAAAGGGTCGTGATCGGAAAAAGAAGAAGCCACGAGCCTTTGACCAGGGCGGACTGAATCAAGGCGAAGCCAATGAGATGGGCGCTGACTGGGGTGACTCAAGCAACGCCTCAGGCGATGGATCTTCGTCCGAGGAATCTAGTGCTTCACCCCCCAAGAAAGAGAAAAAGAAAAAGCGCCGGAGTTGCTCCGAGGAAAGCCGAAAAGGCAAGAAGAGTCGAAAGGAGAAGAAGCGTCGGGATGACAGCCCCAAGAAAAAGAAGAAGAAAAAGAAGAGAGACAGGCTGACCAAAGACAAGGGCCCCTTTGGCGTGGGTGAGACTAGCCGCCTTCCAAAAGGCGAGGACAGCGAAGGCAGTCAGAAAAGCAGCTCATCTTCTGGGTCGAGCCAGTCTTTTCAAAAAGCCCCCTCGGGCCTGACCTTGCACCTGAGGCTGCAAAGGTATGCCCAGCGGTATCCGGGCCGCCTGGCAACCAGCCTGTTGGAGACAATGGGCCGGGCAACGAGGTTCGAGGGGGCGCTTCACACAGCCGGAAAGAGGGCAACAAGGATCCGCCCCTGCGCGGTCACCTACTTTCTGACCATTCTGACGCCGTCTCTAAAAGACCGCTGGACCCCTCGCACCCAACGCGAGCTGAGGGTATGGTCGGAGGTTCTGGATTGCCTGGCTGCGGGTCAGGGATCGCAGGCCGCCGACGTCGTAGCTCAGAGGCTGAAGGCGCTAGAACAGTCAGTTCAAGACGCAAACACATGGAAGAAGGCGAAGTTCCTGGAGTTGGTGGCCGAGGACGTCGGCATGACGGACAAGGGGGAGGAACATATGATGACAAAAGAACTCGAGTTAGAGGAGAAGTTCCGAACCCGGGCTCCGACCGGAAGTCGGTGGGACGAGAGCGGAGCCGGTCCAAAAGGCAAAGGAGGCAAAGGGTCAGGCAAGAACAAGGGGAAGGACAAAGGCAAATGGAAAACGCCGGCTCAAGAAGCCGTGGACAAGAAAGGGTGAATCAGCCGCCTCCAGAACCAGAGAGAGGGCCTACACATGGGACCTTTGAGCAGGCTCCGGAGGCAGAACCCCTGATGAACGATGAGGGTGACGAACCTGCAGAGGAACCGAGGCCCCTAAACAGCAGATGTGCCCTCGTGCTGGCGGCCCTCGAAGGGGGCTTGCGCTATTCGCAGCTGGGTGCCTTGGGGATCGCTGTGATCAGCCAGCTGGGTACGCCCCTTGGCCGGTTTTGGCAGGAGTTTGGAAGACACGCTGTGGCCCAAAGCGAGCCCGCTGCTCGCAACGAAGTTCTGCCAATTTCACTGCGTGCCATTCAGGCGTGCCCCCAATGGAGTGAGGGAATTAAGGACTGGCTGGTCCTCATCTGTGGTGTGCTGAACTTTCAGTACTGCTCAGGTTTCGCCAGCTCGAAGTATCTAGCCCATAGGGGTGAGCTGTCGGCCAAGCAGTTGTTCCTGCTTGAGAATCACCTCCGGCCTGCCGTTGAACGACTGCTACAGGAGGATACACCGGTGCCACTTCCTAGTGAAGTGAGAGCAGAACTTGGAAAACATGGGCACAACTATGATGGGAGCTCATACGTGGTCATGGAAGAGCTTGACTTTGAGAAAGTGGTGGCGTGCTGGCCTACGCGCGAGCAAGCTGCAGTGGCCCCCTTGGAGGACTTCTTGCAAGGGGAGACATTGGAACGCCTCACCTCGCCTATGCAGAGCATTTTGCCCTTGGAGGAATGGCCCCGGGAGATTCCGAAGAGTTATGTGAGAGCTACTGACCAGACTTGGAACAAATTGGTGGCAGAAGGGTTCCGCCGGGGACTGTTTCAGGCTTGTCCCGAGGAGGAGATACTGAGAGGTCCAGGAGGAGAGATGGTTCTCAATGGGGCTGGAGCGGTCGAGAAGTTGAAAGGAGAGCAATCACTCCAGAGATTCATATCCATCTTCTGTCCCCTGAACAGCGTGAGCCGAAAGATCACAGGTGATGAAGATACGCTTCCGTACGTGGGACAGGTTGGGCTGCTCTACATACCTGATGAGGCCGAAGTTGTCATTGACAGCGAGGATATGGCATCGGCCTTCAACCTTTTCATGATGCCAGTTGGTTGGAGGGGCCTGTTTTGCTATGAAAAGCAAGTACCCGCTCACTGCTTGGGCCTTGAGGGTAATGCCCCGACGTTTGTATCGCTCAGAACAGTGCCGATGGGCTGGATTTCAGCTGTTGGGGTTGTCCAAGCAGCCATCAGGCACCTGGCATTCGAAGAAGCAAAACTCCCGTTGGAGGCAGAGGTTCAAAAATGGAGAGAGCTCCCGGCCGGTGATAGACTTCTTCTTTACCTGGACTCAGTTGATCAGTTGAGGATTGTCTCGAAGCCCTTGGCCAAGTTGTTTGCCGGAGAAGCCTCCGAGGAACACAGAAGGTTCAAAGAGGCTTGCGAAAGGAAGGGAATGCCAACCAATGCGGCTAAGACTTTGGCCGGGTCGCTGAAGGGATCACTGCAGGGAGGCGAACTCCGGTCAGAGGAAGGGGTCTTCATGCTCAATGAGGGCAAGATGAGAATGAATCTTGCCATGACTGCATACCTCCTTACTCTGGAACGTTGGGACCCGAAAGAAGTAGCTGGAGTGGTAGGTCGTTTAGTCTTTGCAGCTGCCTTCCGCCGACCCTTGCTGGCTGTGATGGACGAGCTCTTCCAGTTCGTCAAAAAGTGGCGTTCAGCGACCCCCTCTTCGAACCAGGTGGACGAGCTAGTGTGCGCCTTGGCCCTGTTGCCCTTGGCGTTTACGAACATCAGGGCGCGGGTGTATGGAAAACTTAGCGCCACAGATGCTTCACCTACTGGGGCTGGGTCTTGCATGGCCATGCAGCTGAAACGGGCAAGAGGCGTTCCCAATCCTCAACAGCTGGCCTGCGGCCATTGCCGCAGTGATATGACAGAGCTGATTGCCAACGGACAAGACGTGGAATGCCCGCTCTTGTGCGGACTGAGGCTCTGTTCGCAGGAGTGCTTCCTGGAACACAAGGGCTCCTGTGAGAACAAAGCCAAAGCACTGCCGCTGTTTAGCGAGCGCTGGTCAGGTGAGAGGAGTCCACTGACCCAGGCCGTCCTTCAGGAGGGAATCAATGTGGCACGGCCCTTCGATGTCAAGGTCAGCCCCTTGATGGACATCTTCACTGACACGGGTCGCACGATCTGGGATGACCTGGACCAGGCGGATCCTGATGCTGAGCACCACGCCCCTGACTGCAAAAGTTTCAGCCGAACCAGAGGAAAACCTTTTTGGATAGGTCAACAGAAACACCAAGGGCCGCCGGCCTTGAGGGACGAAAGGCACATCATGGGTTTTCCAAACCTCCGAGGACAAGCGGCAGTGCAGGTACGACAGGGAAACCGAATGGCGCTTCGGAGTATAAAGCGCTGCAAACAGCTCCATGAGAATGGAAAGATCTTCAGCCTTGAGCACCCTTGGCGGAGCTTCATTTGGTACATGACCGCCACAACTGAACTGGCCAGCATGCCTGGGGTATACATGGCCATCTACAGTAGTTGCTGCTTTGGGGGCCGGAGACAAAAATGGACAGCGCTTCTCACAAACAGTCCGAAGCTTTTTGAAGCGCTCCACAAACCTGAGTGCGATCACGGCTTGACGCACGACTATCAGCCCTACTTTGACGACAACAACATTATTCGGTACCCCACAGAGGAAGAAGCCGAATATCCCCAGGGAATGGTGGAGGCGTACGCTCGAGCCCTCTGGCAAGAATTTGAGGAAAATGGGAGCTTGCCAGATGATCATGCCTTTCGCGTCTCCCAGATCGCGTCTGACTTGGACAAGTACGGGCGCTTCCAAGATGATGAGTTACGCTTCAAAGTGGCGGCTCGGATCCATGAGATGGAAGAAAAACTCGTGGGAGGCAATGAGAATGAGGCCCGCTACCAACTGCTTCGCAATGGCCACTACCGGGGAACAGATATCCGGTTCACAGTGGAGCACTTAGCTCAGCGCGAAATGGTGCCCTACCCAGCGTATCGCTGGTTGTGGAGGGACACGCTATCCTTCCGCTGGAAGCAGGAAGCACATATCAATGAGCTTGAAACTCAGGCGCTCATAGCTCATGTTCGCCGTCTTTTGCAGGAAGACGAGGTGAAACAGGTACGGGTGATGATTGTAATTGATTCACAGGTGCTCTACTATGCCATTGGAAAGGGTCGCAGTCCATCCAAGCGACTTAACAGGCTCATGCGCAGGCTAGCTGCCCTTCAATTGATGGGTGACCTCTATGTGCTTCCCATTTGGACCTTGTCCGCCTGGAATTTCGCCGACAGCCCTAGCCGTCGAGTATGACTGAGCGTTCTCTCAGATTCGTTGGGTTGCACTGGAGGACCTTGCGCAGTTACCGAAGAGCCTTACTTTCCTTTTTCGAATGGTTGGATGATGAAGGTATCCACATTCCTGCCAAGACATCGCAGCTGGATGATGTCCTGGCTCAATATTTAGAGCACCTGTGGTTGGATGATATCAATATCACCTATGCTGGGCATACTTTGAGCGCCTTTCGCCGTTTCTACCCAGCACTGAGATTTAAGCTGCCTACCGCCAAGCAGTTTTTCACCAATTGGAAGAGCATTCACGTACCTCGCCAGGCGGTTCCCATGCCTGCGGATGTCGCCCTTGCTCTTGCAGGGGTGGCAGTATCAATACAGGAGGAAGCTTTGGCTTTACTGATCCTCCTAGGTTTCACCGCTTTCTTACGCACAGGTGAAATAATTAAATTGCAAGCCCAGCAAATCCGCATCAATGTGGAACTGGGACAAATTATCCTTGCATTGCCGGCCACAAAGACCTCCAAAAACAAAGAAGAAAGTGTGGCCGTGACAGACGCTTTGCTTTGCCGTTTTACCCAACGGGTGGTTGCTGCGACCCAGGGCCCGACTATTTCAAACCTTACTGCAAATCAGTTCCGCTCCAGGTTGCAGCAACTTTGTTCCTTTTTGCATTTGGAACGCCACAACTTCACCGGCTACAGCCTCAGAAGGGGTGGTGCGTCTCACGCTTTCACTGAGGGCATGCATTTCGACCAACTCCTCATTACTGGTCGATGGCAAAGTGTCAAAACTGCACGACAATATTTGGACTCAGGCAGAGCCGCCCTGGTGCAGTTGCAACTTTCGCCCAGGAGTGCGTACCTGGTGGACCACTTTCAAAACAATATCACTCTTTTTTGCGAGCAACTACGTCAGAGGCGCACTTCAAAGCGCTAAAAATGGGGTCTGAGTGCCATTTTCTTTTGCCAGTCTAGCCGAAGTGCTTAGATTGGGAAGGTGCCAGGAATTTTCGCTGGCTGGCCAGGACAAGATGTCTTGAGTTGCCCGGTCTGGGCCTGCCAATCCTGAGAGGATTGTGGTTTTTGAGGAGCCTGATTGCAGGCCTTTAGTTGTGACCTGGGATAATTATACCCACGGTCCTGGCACTCAGACGCCTTGCCACAGCGTAAAAAAGGCTGCAAGTGAGCGCTTGGCCGGTGTCTATATATATATATATATACTGTATATGGTAGTTTGCATACCGCAGTGACTTCACAAATTGCCTGACACTTACGTTGCTAGTTTGTAGTGCCGCAGCGGCGCCACCTCGAGCCGCCAGGCGGAAGAGCTGCAACGCAAAGCGCTCGCAGGGCGTGAAGCGCAGCTGGGCGCGAGCCATCCCGACACGCTAATCTCCATGAACGTTCTCGCTGTGATCCTCCAGTCGCAAGGCAAATTGGAAGAGGCCAGACCGAGGTCAGGGGCAGAAAGGTGACCTTCCCCGTGGAAGTTCCAAGGGGAAGGCGCTTTTTTTGAAGTAAACAAGAGTGGAAGAGTGGACACTTCCATGTCTCCAATTTGAGCATCTCCTAATTTTCGCCCAAATTCATTAGTTGAATTGCTCGGGCATGAAATCCATACATGCAATGTGCATCAGGGTTGGTGCCAAGGATCTGTCCTCCAATTCAAAACAGGTGAGTCAACCTTGGGAGCCGATCAGCCGCTTGCATTTTCCCGCAATCTAAAACTATGAAATCTCAGCGGAAAACTAAGAAAAGTACAAACTCCTTTCAAAGAGTTGCATCACTGACAGACTCAGAATCTTTGGGGTTTGTTAGGCGAAAGAAAACTGTACGGCTTGTGACATCACACTGGGAAACACAACAGCATAGTGATGATGAGTGATGTCAATACTGTACTAATTTGGCGCAGTTCAACACACGCCCTAGATTTTTGTGTTTCCAAAATCAGTCAGCCAAGGCTGTTTGTAAGACCCTTCTTCACGATACCAACACCTCTTTAATTGATTAAACCCGGACTCTTGATTCTATGTGCAAGAGTTTCCGGATCACGATAAAACGCATGCAGCATGATCAACCCAGCAGGATCAAAATCAGCTAGATGGGAATGATCGTGTGTCAGTTGTTTGTGTGAGGAATCTGTGAAAGTCTGAAGCTATGAACGTGAATTTGCACGTTAAAGTGGTTTGCGAAGAGTCTTCAAAACGCTGAACAAAAACGCAGCTTGCCAAAAGGTTGCCAACAGGTACAGGCTCAACGTCCCTATTGGCTTTTGAAGTTTGCAAATTCCTGTGAGATGTATGATCTTAGTCGGCCGCATAGGCACCTGTTTGATTGTGACAGTATCACCAGTTCAGCTGAACCTGTGAAGGGAGTATTTCTTGTTATATGCAATCTAGCCATATCTAGCCTGCCTACATGCTCGGCAGGGCTTTTCGAGGCCCTTAGCAGGTTTAATCCGTTGATTATTTTCGAGGGCGTTTGACAATGTTTGAGATGATGACCGATCATCCGAGCCGTAGCCCCCTCCGTGGTCGCCCCAGGGTTGTTTCGTGAGAGCGGGCCAGCAATGTGAGCAAACACTGTGAGTAAATTGAGTAAATTGATGCTTCTTGGCATCCCGTGAATCCAAAGAGTGCTTGACGAGCGCTTGGAATAGTATGTTCTCACTATAGTCCAAAAATTGTGGCCTTTGTTGGCTTATTCTTCCCTTTCCATGACCCATGGGGCCTGAGCTGGGGCTCTTCTCATGTTTCGACACCTCAGCGCTCCATCTCGAGCCGCCAGGCAGAAGGTCTCTACCGCCGAGCCTTGGAAGGCGGCGAGTCCCAACTGGGAGCCCAACACCCCGACACCCTCGTTTGGGTGCACAACTTGGCCGATCTCTTGTACAAACAGGGCAAGTTGGAGGAGGCCAGGCTGAGGTTCTTGGGGTACACAGAAGTTGCGGAAAGACTGGTACGGGTGAGTTTTCTTGCTTCCCACTTTCACCTCGGACTGAATTTATGATGTTTTATGAATGAATTTGGTGATCATCTAAAGCTTATTGTGGTGAGTTCCCACAGTTCCCATAGTGATTGACTGTCCCCAGGATTGTTGCGAGTGAATTTGGTGAGTTGACCCCGCAAGACACGTGCCAAGCATCATGAAACTGTTTCTCCGGAATCCAAGCTTCGGCTGTAGATACCAGATTGGGCCTAATTCGTTTGACTGGGTTGTTGGATCTCAACAGCAGTACATGCATTTTGTGCAGGGGTAGATCAACATTGTTTTGCAAGAAGTGACTATGCATATAGAGCTTTGGCTGATGCATCGATCATGTGTGCCAGCTTGACGCAGTACAACAAAAGCCTTCACCCTGGCTTCTTGGTTCCCACAATCCCATCCCTTGCAGATCAAATTCTGAGATTTGCGGGTTTTGATGTTTGAACAATCAATGTGCCACATTGCACCACCAACACATTGCCTTTCACCAGTTGCGGATCACAGTACAAGGCCCATCTCGCTACGGCATGGGGCGCCACCCTGCTGTCATCCATCCACAACCCACCCTGCAGGCGGAGGAGCTCTTTCGCAGGGCCCTGACGGGGCGAGAAGGTCAGCTGGGCCCCGTGCATCCGGACACCCTCGGATCCGTACGGGGTCTGGCGATTCTTCTGGAGGTGAAAGGCTCCGTTGCAGAGGCGAGGGGAGTCTCAGTCGAGTCGACTTGTGTTGTTGCTTGGTGCGCTTCTGCTTGGAGGAGATGTCAAGGTGGGAAGTTGATGGAAGTTGAAGAAGTGGTTTAACAGCGACGCCTTCGTGAAAGGAGATCTCACTAGTCTTGGCAAGAGTGTTGTCAAGATTCGAAAGATGATGTTTTATTCTGTTTTCTTTTTATAAATGCTTTCTATAGAGACGAGGTTTTGTGACATTCTGGTTGGGTATACCCAACCGGTATTAAGATATTGCAAGTTCCAAGTGATGCGGTTGCAAGGTCATCAGCCCGGGTCCCGGGTAGCCACCCACTGCCATGCAGCACGTCTAGGCAGGGCAGCTTTATCTCCGCGAGCTGCGTGGCCTGGAGGCGTCTGCCGGGGTCACACGGGAACTGTCGATGGCTGGCCTTGGACGGCTCCAGGCCATGATGAAACTGGTAGTCCCAGCTGGACATTGGTCCGGCTGGTAGTCGCTGCTCGTGGATTTTGGAGTCCCAAAGTAATGTCCGTCAAAACGTTTTGGTCGCCTTTAGTTGAATTCCATCAATGGACGTCTTCACTGTATATTCATGCATCTAGATTTTGCAACAAGAACAATTTTTGATCTGATAATCTGATACTGTAATTTTTCCTATCTTTTTGCTTTCGGTATCATGGCGTTCGGTGTTGCAAGTTCCTTGCTGCCCGCTGGCGCGAGCGTGAAATCATTGAGCCCTGCCAACACATGTGTGTGTGTGTCTCTAAGATCCGCAAAACTTTCAGCCCGCTCGGTGCCGCCTTCTCTGCAGGAGCTGCATGGTCCGGAGCACGAAAAGACCCGAGCGGGTCGCCGTAACCTGGAGCGATTCCAACGACAGCACGGGCCAATTGATTAAAGGCGCTGTGAGACCAAAATTTCCCTCCAAGACATTCACAGGCGACATGCTCGAATCGGTTTCAATCTTTACCAAGATGTTTGGATTAATTTGATGGAAAGCTGGCCTGTGGCCTTGGCTTTTCCCCACTGTCAAGGATTTTGCTTCTGAGGCAGCAAGTGGAGGCATGTTTGAGTTTCTCAAAGTTCTGCAATTCAGATTTTGTTCAGAACATGTTTGACCGATAAAGAGACGTTTGAGTTTTTGCCCAGCTTGTTGCAGTTTGGGTTTGGGAATGGATTCGCATGCAAGCTTCTCCCAGAAGTATAGCAACATTTTTCCAACAAATTGCATTGGTATGCCTGTGGGATTTGTGGTTGATTCACTTTAGAAAGTTCTGCATTTTCCACCAAGTCTCCATTGACTCGCAGGCATATCAGCATCTTCCAGCCCGTGACCCTGCATCGCATTGAGCCGCAAGCTATCATCATCTATCAATATCTCCCGTTTCACTGAGATCTATAGAACCCGAAATCGGAGCTTCGAATTACCAAGCAAATCTGTCAAAACAGGGCGCGTCTCGATTTGACCCCCACAGCACTCGAAGTCTGCAGACTTGGCGTCTGGGATCGGATCACTTCCAGAGTCACAAGGTCAGGGCCTCTGATGATAGTGTTGCCCAGCAATTGTTGGCGCAAAAACAATGATTTGTTTTTATAATTTAGATTTATATGTGTCATGTGTTATATGTGTTATGTCTTTTTGGCAACCTCAGCTGCTCCTGGTCATGCGCATGTCAACCGTTCGACTTTGGTGTTCAAGCTTTTGCCCGCAACATCCAGCAACTGATTTCTCGTCAAGCCAGTGAGGCAGTGAGTGCCTGTAACTTTCTTGGCCAACAACTTGCTTTATTCATTTGCCAAACTTCCTTTATATCCGCACGTGTCAATAAGAGTGGACCCGGAATTGGTTCCCAATGAATTTTGAAACATCTTCAAACTTTGGCCAGGTCCGAGCGACCTCGAAAGAAGGGCTTGGGAGGTTTCTCCGACTTAAACCCTGATTTGTTTCCTCCTTGGAAGAGGCTTTATGAGTGAAACTTTGGAGTCAGGAAGTGCCTGTGGAGCCCAAAATTTCCTACATCCAACATGGTTGTTAACAGCTATACCCCGGTCATGCATGTCAGGATTTGTAAATAGTCAAGACATCCATAAGTTTTGTGCCTTAAACATCTTAAAATCCGCTTATATCCACTTCATCCACTAGTCCGGCAGCGCTTTTGAGCCTGTGATATGGCGCCGGGCCATGGCGGATCAAGAGGCCGCTGTTCCTTTGGCAGGAGACGAAGTGGGATGGACCTGGAAGTTGGGCATAGGCTGCTGAATCTCATGAGGTTTGTGGAGTTGCACCCAAGAGCATTGATCAACCTTCAAACATCTCTCGGTCTTGCTCTGGCTTTGGAATGTGGTCACCATTCGGACATATTTGGATTTGCAATCGACGTAGATCATGAGGGTGACTTCCATTTTGCAGGGTGCCAGCGCAGGGATTTCGGTGGTTTCGTTTGAAAACAGTCTCGTTGACTGGAATGTGAAGTGGAGATCCACAATTTTGATAATTGATCTTGCATGTGATTGCCTTAAGATGCCCATTTTTGTGAAAATCTACTGGCCCCCAGCCCCCAACTGTGAAGACATCTTCAACATTGAAACATTTTTTTGCGTGGAAAACTAGCGCCCCAAAAATGGATGAGGGATGCTTTTATGGCAGACATGGTCTCAACATTGAAGCCCGTTTTGGCTGAATCATAGTGCCCCAAACTGGATGCCCTTGATGACCGAAGACACCACTTTTTTGTACAGGACTATCGCCCCGAAATGAATGCATTCTATG